CCACAGGTCTAAACCTACCCAGAAGAGGCACACACCCTGGAGAACCACCTGTGGCCCTGCTTATATTCTCTGAGCATACCAGGAACAAGATGAGAACTCAGAAGTCATTAATGAATGCCCACAATTGCATTTCCTCGCCTTCTCAGAGACTATCACTCCTTCACAACCCTCCCTGCACTGAATCAGATAATCTCCAAGCACATTCTCAGTCGCAGGACAAGCTCCATAGATGAATCTAGCCTAACATATACAAGCTACTCAAAAGGGTGACTAAGCATTTGTTTTTTGTTTATTTTCCCCACTCCAAAAAAAGAAATTATGATCTGAAATCAGTAGCCTGGTTCTCCTGCCGATTTAATGGGTGAAATTGGATAATCACTCAAAACAATCTATTTCACCTCTAAGTTCCAAATAAAATGGCCTAGGGCAAGGTGCAACTCACAGATGCACCTAGCACTTGTAGACATGGATGAAAAACTTCTTCCAGTTTTCCCTTCCCCACAGACAATGATTACCTCTTTTGTAAAATGCTGAGAACACAAATCCATAAACCAGTTCTTTATTAAATGGGTAGCTCGATCAGAATAAATACTTATATACCAGAGGAGACCATTGGTTAAGAGCTTCTATTGACCTTTGGACTTAGGGAAAAAAAAAAAAAAGCACAATGAGATCACTACATACCTACTGGAATGGTCAAAATCCAGACGACTCTCACTCACAAGTAGGCACTAAGCACTGGGCATATAGGCACAAAGGTGGGAACAACAGATGCTGGGCACTGCTAAAGAAGGGAGGGACAGCCGGGCTCGGTGGCTCAGCCTGTAATCCCACACTTTGGGAGGCCGAGGTGAGTGGATTGCCTGAGCCCGCAGGTTCGAGACCCGCCTGGGCAACTTGGCGAGACCTCATCTCTACAGTAAATCAAAAATTAGCCGGGTATGGTAGCACGCGCCTGTGGTTCCAGCTACTTGGAAGGCTGAGGCGGAAGGATGGCCGGAGCCCAGCAGGTCGAGGCTGCAGTGGCCAGGAGCGGCCACTGCACTCCAGTCTGGGCGACGGAGTGAGACTCCAACTCTCCAACTCAAAAAAAACAAAAGAAGGGAGGGACAAAAGGGAGATAAGGGATGCACAACCACCCATTGGGTACCATGTCCACTACTAGCAGGAGAGAGGACTCACTAGAAGCCCAATCTCGCCTTCACACAATATATACTTGTGTGGCAAATCTTCATATGCATCCCACAATTCTAAAATAAAACTTAAAAATTAAATTTAAAAAATTTCAGATACTGACAATGCCAGATGCTGATGAGCAAAAGCAACTCTTACCCAATGGTTACAGCCACTTTGGAAGACAGTCTGGCAATTTCTTGTAAAACCAAACATACTCTTACCATATGATCCAGCAATCATGCTCCTTGGTATTTAACCAAATGAGCTGAAATCTTCTGTCCAGGCAAAAACCTGCACATGAACGTTTACAGCAGTTTCATTCATAACTGCCAAAACTTAGAAGCAACCACAATGTCCTTCAGTAGGTGAATGGATACACTATAATACATCCAATTACATATCATTCAACACTAAAAAAAATGTGAACTATCAAGCATGAAAAAAACACGGAGGAAACTTAAATGTATATTGCTTAGTGAAAAAAGCCAATCTGAAAAGGATGCATACTGTCTGATTCCAACTACAAGACATTCTGGGAAAGGCAAAAACCATGGAGAGAATAAATGACAAGTGGTTGTCACGAGTTAAGAGGGAGAGCAGGAAGAACAGGCAGAGCACGGAGGATTTTCAGGGCGGTAAAACTATTTTGTATGATATTATAATGGTGGATACATGTCAGTACACATTTGTCCAAACCCACAGAATATATAAGACCAAGTAAACTGTAGACTCTGAGTGATAATGATGCTTCAATGTAGCTTCATTGACTGTAACAAATGGACCACTCTGGTGCAGGATGTTGATGGGAGGAGACTGTGTCGTGTGAAGGTAGGATGTATGTGGCAAAACTCTGTAGCTTATGTTCAGTTTACTGTGAGCCTAAAATTGCCCTAAAAAATAAAGTCTATTTAAAAAAAAAAAAAAAAAAAAAAAGAAGAAGAGGGTGACTCTTTCTTCTTCGGGGTGTGGCATAAAGGCAAGGTACCTACTTGAACATGTTCAAGGAAAAGGAAAGACAACCATTGTCACCTTTAGTGCTCAAGAACGTAAGTGTTAATAGCATAATTATAAAAACTAAAAAGAACCAGGAAGGCAAGTAATAGGATTATGGTACCATCTTCCCTTGAAATTAAAATAGTGAAAATCTAACAAGACCTTCACTTAATTGAATCTAGGCCTTCCCCACATCTCTAAAATTAAAATTAAAACAAGAATATCTCGACCTTGTCATAGACTTCCTTGGCAACTACTTGCAAGGGTAATGCTTGGATTGGAGTTGTCAGGGATTGTACAGATTAACCTTGACATAAACTATGAAACAGTGCTATTCAGTGAACTCCTTATACCCACAGCCTATTTTGTGGAGTCACACACATTTCTCCTCCCAAATTACATACCTGAGAGGTCAAGCTCACCCCAACACAGGAAAAGCTTCAAGAATTCTCTTTTTTTTTTTTTGGGTTGGAGTCTCACTCTGTTGCTCAGACTGGAGTGCAGTGGCCGCTCCCGGCCACTGCAGCCTCGACCTGCTGATCTCCGGCAATCCTTCCACCTCAGCCTTCCAAGTAGCTGGAACTACAGGCGCGCGCTACCACGCCCGGCTGGTTTTTTGATTTATTGTAGAGATGAGGTCTCGCAAGTTGCCCAGGTGGGTCTCGAGGCAAGAATTCTCTTTTCTGCATCTGTCATTTAGCTCCTTGGTTACACCTGCCAAGTACTTAGGAACCAGGCAAACCACAAGTACTTTTTTGTATCCCTGAATGCATTAGTCAGAGATTAAAGAACTGAGAGGCCTCTGGTACTTGTACGCTGTCATCTAAAAAAATTTGCAACTGCATGCAGTAACACCACAGAACATTTCACAAAGTACATTTGGTTGGATGTCAGTTTTATTTGAGGCTTAGTGCTAAGAAATAAAGCCACCACCTTATACACTCTTCAAGCCAAGTATTCAGAAGGCCTCTGATCTTACACACCAGGAATGAACATGTTTGTCGCTGCAAAGCCAGTATGTCTGTGCACAATTTACAAATCTACTTATAAGATGGTCGAAGTGTCAAACAGACAACCCTTTCACCGTCTCTCTACCCTCATTTCTCCTTCCCAAACAAACAAAAACAGACTGAATTGCTCAATGTATGCAGGAGGCTGAAGATTTTGTTTCCTCTAAGTTTTACTACTTTCCAAGGTTCACAATCTCCAAGAAGCTAACCCTCTCATTTACTAACTCAAACCTTAAATAAACTGCCTCCACCAACTTCTCTCTCTTTTCAACCCCTCTCAGCAGAGACATCTCTTTCAGCCAAGAAAGCTACACAGGAGGCTTGGAAGTGGCTGCCTCTGCAAACTCCTCCCCCTTCCTACCAAAAGGGCACTTCAAGAACTTTACGGTCTCTGAGATGAAAGTTGCTCCAATTCCATTCACTGGGACTGGATTTGAGCATGCAAACTGTCTTTCTGCAATCAGTTGTAAGATAGGATGCTGGTCACAATGACCTTTGGTGGAAACCTGCTTTCTACACAAGTTAAGAACGCCATCTAGTTCTATGTATGGGCCATCATTGGGGAAGCACATACTCACTCCTCTCCCGAAGACCTTTTCCTGGCACAGGGGCATCCCAAACTCGCCCCGTTTCTAAGGTGTGACCCTCCATCCCCAAATTCATCCCTTTTTCTTCATCTCAAAGTTCAGTCTAATCAGCTATTGTGCAGCAGCTGTGGCAATTTATCCCCTTGATTTCTTGACATTTCCTTCTCTGCTCCTGGCAAGGAAACTGTTTTGATTTGAATAGAGTTGTCTGTGCGGGGATTCTGCATGTTAATGATGTGATGAGCTGGCAGGGATGTTAGGTGAGAGCATACAGTGTACTTTTTCTAGTTATGTTTCGCCTCATCACTGCTATAGGGGCCTTTCTAACCGTCTGCTACACTGGGAGACAGACTTACAGACCTAATCATACCCTCTTCTGGGGAGCCTCCAGAGGCCAGGTAGAAACCGAACAGATGGCCTGTTCTCTAGTCAAGTATCTGGACTCAGAGGCAAGATACTCCCAACCACTCCACCACCAATGAAGTAAACACACGTACTTCTGGCTCAGCAAGGGAGTCACAGTCGCTACCCTTCCCCTGGCTTCGGCCCCAGCCCTGTCCAGGCCAAGATGCTGCACTCTCCTTGCTGTACACCGTCCATCCTCCCACCCCAAAGGAAAGGACTTCCAACGGAGGTGGAAGCATTAGCGACGGTACCCGCCCTTTTCTCTCGATCCTGGCCAGAAAACTCCACTTCCCGGATTCCTGGCCACTCTCTCCCGCCCCCTCCCCGGGCGATCCAGCTAGCGCTGTCCTGATGCCAGCTGAGTGCCCAGCCCAGCTGTGCACTCCCAACACCACGAGACAGGCCCCAGGAAAAGACCCCAGTTTCCTCCCTCTCCGCCAGACTCGGGTTCCCCAGATTCTGGACGCACCCCTCTGGCATGCTAGGACTGAAAAAAGTCCCACCCCGCCCCCCAGCCACGCCGCCAGCCTCCAGCCCTGCCCCAAAGGGGCCTTCTCCTAGAGGCGAAAAGGCACCACGGGTGGCTGCCCCCAGTCGCCTTTCACCGCACTCCGCGGGGATCCCGAGCCCCCGAGGAGGACAGACCCGCGTGGCCCCGAAGGGACACCTCCCTCTCTCCCCGGAGGCCGGGAGGTCTCCGAAGGGAGTGTGCTCGCTGCGGGTCCCCGGGAGTCTGGGGAAGCCGGGGGGGGGCTGCCTGGATCCCGGCGCAGCCCCTCCCGGGGCGGGCGGAGGTCGGCGCTGCAGCGCGCCCCCGGGGGGCACTCACGATGGTCACGCTGGCTTTGCGCAGGTCGCGGTTCTCCTCCTGCAGCGCCTTGCACTTGAGTTTGTAGGTCTCCAGCTCGATCTTGAGCACCTTGTTCTCCTGCTGCAGCGAGGCCAGGCGGTTTGTGAGTTCCTCCAGGCGGAACGGCGAGATGACAATGCCCCCCGACTTCCCACCGCCGCCGCCGCCCCCGCCGCCGCCGCCGCCGCCGCCGCCCGAGGTAGACGAGCAGGACGACTGCATGGCGGCCGAGCTGCTGCTGTTGCCCCCCGCCCCGTCCGTGTCGCTCTCGCTGGCGCTGTCCGCCATGGCCGCGGCGGGCTGGGGAAAAGAGGAGGAGGAGGAGCAGGGAGGCGGCGGCCGCGAAGGCTGGGCTGCGAATGAGTGGGCGCCGGCGAGCTCAGGGGAGCGCCGAGCTGGGCGCCTGGCACCAGGGCGCAGACTCCGAGCGGCGGCGAGAGAAAGAGAGGGAGCTTCCCGCTGCCAAGGGACCTCCTCTGCCAGAGAACAGAGACCCCGCCCGGGCTCGGGCAGTATTGCACTGGGGCTCGCTCCAGCCGGGCCTGGCGCGCTCGCTAGGCCGCCCTGCAAAGCCGGCCGGGAGCGCGGGGACCCGCCCGCTGCCGCTGCCGCCGCCTGGCGACCGCCGGCGGGCTGAGGACGCGCGGACACGGCCCTGCGGGAAAGCCGGGCCACCCTCCGCCCCGCCCAGCTCGCCGGCCGCACGTGCTCCGCGGGAGGGCCTCCGAGCCCCCTGGCCTAAGCCCACGGCCGCCCAGCCCCGTCTGGGCTCGGCCTGCCCTGGGAAAAGGAAACCCAATGCTTCACCAGCCTCGCAGGTGCTGGGACACGTGGAAAGGTCAGCCCGGCTCGGGCACCCAGCCCCGGCTGTGCTGTGGCCCCAGCTTCCACCCGACTGTGTGCGCGCGTGTCTCCCTCTGCCTGTTTCACACGTACGCGCAGTTTTATCTGCTCAGTGAGCAAAGTGCTTTCGACTGGGAAGGTTTGGATGGCGCTGAGGGCAGAAAGTTTTCCTGCAAGGGGCCGAGGGGGGGGGGGGGTGAAACAACAACAGCCACAGGTTAACCTTGTTAAGAAAGAATTTGTAGGAAAAGCACACCGCCCTCTAACAATCTCATAAACCACACTGCGCTCAATTTAAAGTGCAACTTTTTTTTCTTTCTCTCTTTGCCTCTTGAGAACATTTCCAGCACGTCATCACGACATCGGATTAAGACTAACATTGGTCTCATCAAAAAAAAAAAAAAGAAAGAAAAAGAAAACAGAAACATGTTTTGTGGAAGGGTTGAACCATCTAAGTGCCAATTTTCCAAAATAACTGTAGAGGTAACATTATGCTATACAAATAGTCACGATTAAGTGAGAGTACAATATAGCCATCACACCCCTTTGCTATCCTCTTGCTCACTCCCAGAAAACTTTAGTATGTAAAAATAAAACAAATAAATTTTACTCTAACGTAGTCTAATTCGAGGGTCTAGCTTTTATTCCCCTTCCTTTCTCTCAAAGAAAGGCTTACAGGAAATTGGCCCAGCAGGTGAGATGATTCTGAACCCTTTACCCTGTTGACACAAAACAGCTTTCACTTGTGTATAAAAATTGGAAAGTGAAACTGACCAGACTAGTTTTATTATCCAAGCTTAGTCAATGGAGGAACAAACACATGGAAACAGAAAAAAAAGTATATATTTTTTTCTATTGCTTTGAACTTTTAAAAAGATTTCTAAAGTGTTAGGAAAAATAATGGGATAATTTTAAATGATTCTTATTCCCACTCCCTCATTGCCTTTAAACCAAAATTTGATCTAATGATTACACTGTGATTCAATAACTCATGAACACTAGTACCTCGGAATAAATTCTATAACACTAAGTGTTCCAAATGACATAATCTTTTACCAAAATGGCTGCTTCTAGCAAACAGCTCAGAAATGCCAACTGCAGCTAAAACCCAAATTTCTCCCAAGTATTTCTGAGTTTAGCACTAGAGGGCTTTTGAACTCAGTTGGTATAGCAAGAAAAGTGCTTGGCTTTACTCTTCAGAAACATATAGCTAATCTAAATAATTCTGTTACAAGTGATCCAACTTAATTTTCACTGAAAATGATTTCTCTCCTTCACTATTTCTCTTCGGGATCTAGTACAGGAGACAACCAATGTGTCAAGTTGGAAACAGCTTCTGGAAAGCTCACTTGAAGGGTGAAATGGAAGAGTAAAGTTAGCAGGGAGGAGCACTGCAGGGGGAAAACTCAGCTTTAACAGCATTTTTCCACTTTATTCACTGTGATAGAATCTTTAAGAGTAGGTCTGGCTTCCATACCTCACAAGTTTCTATTGTTCCCTATCCCATAGTATCTTAAACCTTCCACTTTTAGAGTTTATTGCAACAGGAGCATTCCTTCCAGGCAGAGCAGGGAGCAAATTAACTCCCCCTTAGCTTCACCACAAAACTAACAGCCTTGGAGAGGCAGCCAGACAGCTTCAAGTCGGCAGAGGGGTGGAGTTTGAAGCGCCTGGTTTTCTTAAAGGGCCCACGTCATGGTAAGCTTAAGAATGCATTGGTCTTCAATAAGATTTGGAGGAAATCTGCATTTTGACATGGTGCTCATAGGCAGTAATCGTGTTTGGAAGACTTGAAGGGGAAAGCCATCTTCTAAAGCTTCCCTGCTGGTACAGATGGGCATAAACTGGGGAATATTTTTTCACTGTGGTTTTTATTGTTATTGCAAAGCAGAAGCGTGTCTAATTTTCTACTTCTTGTAAAAGTGATTTCCCTTATAAACAGATCATTTATCACAACACTCGTTCAGTAATAGCATTACAATGGAAACACCAGTTACAAAACCAATAATATCATTATAAAACTCTTTCTCAGCTTTCCAGGGGGAAATGAATCAGAAGAATAAATGGTAGTATGTGCTATATGGAGGAAGAAGGGACAAATTTAGGTAATCACCTCCATTGGAGAAATAATGAAATTTGGCTTTGCCCCAAATTTAAGCTGCAAAAATACACGAACAAAGGAAAATATCTTGTAGTCTAAATGCAAGGCACAACATAAAAATCTTTCTTTGTCTAATGCCGTTTTTACAGCTTATTTACTCTATGGCCTTGGAACTTTAGTGCTTTCAAAATAATAGCATAAATCATAAGAAATCGTGATTAATTTTTAATACCTATAAATAAATTGTTGTACATATCCAGTTACATTAATGTTAGATCCGAGTGATCTTATTAAAACTCTGGGTGGATTTAGCTATCGTGGTACCCACAGTTACAGTTTTGAAAAGATTTGTAGAGAGCCAAGTATGAGCTGGGTGATCACAGAGTGTCAGAATTTGAATAAAATTATAGAGGAATGAGTAAGACTATCATTTCTTGAAAAGTAGTAATTCATAGATATTTATTTAAATACACCTTTGTTAGAGGCTATGTCTAGTCTCTAAGTCTAGCAAGGGGTTTCTGAACCTTGCCAATATTTCCACTTGAGGCTGGATCAATTTTTGTTGTGGGAGGCTGTCTTGTGCCTGGTAGAATGTTTAGCAGTATCCCTAGCCTCTACCCAATAGATGCCAGTAGTATGCCAACCAAAAACTTCTCCAGACACTGCCAATTGTCAATTGTCAATCGTCAAAGCTGCCCCCAGTTGAGAACAAATGATTTAGTAGAACAATGACGTTTGCAGGGCAAAGTCAGTTCCATTTCAGAGTGGCTTTTCTGACAGTACGTTGTTTGCACATGGCTGAGTTGTCAAGAGAATTTTTCTCTCATTTTATACTTCCGGCGTCAATTAGCCAAGAGATCCTGGACCCAGACACCCACATCTGTACTTTCTACTATTGCTGTCTTCAGTCACTGTATTTTTATAACATGCCTTTTCAATATTTTGCACTTATTAACATTAAACTAGTCTTGCACATCTCACCTTGGTAAGAGATCATGTTATAAGATTAATTTCATATTTCATCTTTATCCTGCTGTTTTCATCTACTCATTATTGGTTCATAGGAATTAAAACCATGATACAGATGGCCGTCCAAAGGAATAAGTCATCAGCTAAAGTAAATCAAATGAGAAAAAAGAATTTCAGCAAAAAAGTGAAACATGACTTATGTGTCTGGAACTGTGGCAGCCAGTAATACCTAAAACTTGTCCTGACACAGAACACCTAGAATTGCTGACTAGGAAGTGCTGTTTAAATCCTATTCAATACTCAACGGCTCAAAAGAAAGAAAAGAGAAATTCCACACTCGTAACAAAAAGGGAAATGAAACAATCCAAATGTCCACCTACATTATCAATCCTGTTATACTCATACAAGAGAATAATAAATATTAATAGCAATGAGAAAAAACAAACTCTAATTACATGAAACATGAGTGAATCTCACACACAAGATAATAAGGATGCCACTGTAAAAGAATATATACTGTACAATTACATTTATATATGGCTCAAAAATAGGCAAATTAATCAATAATGTTAGAAGTCAGAATAATAATTCGCATTGAGAGAGGGTAGTGACTGGAAGTATCCTAAGGGATTTCTAGTAATGTTCTTTTTCCTTCCCTGGGTGCTTGTTACCTAGGTATGTTCTCTCATGAAAAGGTGTTGAACTATATATATTTATGACTGGTGTACCTTTCTGTACATGTTATAATTCAGTGAACTATATAGGTCACAAAAGGGGGAAAGGGAGTGACTAAACACCAGAAGAGTAAGTCTGGCAGCAGCTGAAACTGGGGCAGAAGCATTAATCATGGAGTTTGAGTTTAGTGCCTATCAAGAACAGGACTTGAGAGACCATAAAAGGCAGGAAGATGTAACTAAGACACCTACAAGATCCTGGAAGCATCAAAAAGTTACATCTACACGGAAAGTCTGAACTAGAGGGAAAAGTCTCCTTACCAGCAAATAAATAGACAGCAAGGAAGTTTGTTTACTTAAGATTGGATTCAGATTTCTGTTTGGTTTTTTTAAAGAGCTTCTTTAGAAAAGTTATAACCTAGACCTAAGCCTCATGAAGTTTAGGGTTCACAGACATACTTTATAAGATGTACATGACCCAGAAGTCTCCAAGATGACATGGTATCTCGAAAGGTGGCCAAACATGAGAATGCTTTGATAGAAATGTTCCATATTTTGACTGTGGTGATGGTTCACAAATGTACACATTTGTCAAACCTCATCAAACACATAAAAAAAGGTAAATTGCATCATATGTAAAATATAACTGAAAAAATTAACTGATAAAAAATAGGTGGTGTTGGAATGGTAATTTTCCTAGTTCACCTAGCAGGAGCAAACACAAATTCACTCTGGAAGGACACAGTCTCAAAATGAAGATGGGATTACAACTGAAAATTATAAAATACACAGAGAAACAATTCAATATGAACAAAATTAGCAGACAATGAAGAGAAGAATGATATCCCACAACCTCAGTTAATACAAGTGTTGATAGACTTGAACTGGATAAAATTAAATATGTTTAAAGTCGTTAAACTACAAAATAAGGGATAGAAAACATAGAAAAGAAAAACACAGAGTTAAAAACAGAATAGTTAGAATTAGAAACAAACCAAATAGAGCATATAGAAATTAAAAATATAGTATGTTAAAATCTACTAACCAA